TACGTCTCCTCCTCCAGCATCAACATGTCCTCATCACCTCCTTTCCGGCATACAGGGTAGCTAACTGGATCAATTTTAGAGCCCTCTGTACACACGCCACACGAATATACATGCGTGCATATGTCTTTTTACATCAGCTTGTCCTACCTTTCGGCTCTGCGACGTTGATCCGTTAATGGCAGTCGCCTGTAAAGCGTGACACCAGCGCTCTAATCTACCCATCCTAGTGATCATACTACGATGAATTTAGGCAGCACTGACCCTCACAGCCAACAGCGTCTGCCGCACGGCCGGCTACTTCGACTCTGCTGCGCTTTTAGACCTTGGCCTGCAGCTGGCTCTCGGAGAGGTCACATCGTCTCTGTCAGACCCGACGTCAGGCCTGCGTTCTCAGGCTTGTTGAGTCTCACTTTTCCGGATCCTGGATCTGCTCGTCTGCTTCACTTGCTTTTTTCGTGTGCACCTTTTTGTGCAACCATTCATATGTCTGTCCAAACTGGCCATTCGAGGCTCTCGGCTTGTACGAATCTCGGGCTTTTCTAACAAAAGCATGATATATTGTTGCCTCGACAACAACGCCAGTCTACCATAACTGGCAGTTTTGCCATCCAGGGCGTTTTACTTGTGGCACTTTATCTACTCGACGTATGGTTTGACTCAACTGACTTCTCTCTTTCATCGCCTCATAATTATACTTATATTTATTTATTTACTTATACACACACACGCATACACATACATACATGCATACATATATCTAAAGTCACAATGTGTGCAAATGGGTTTGCATACATTTATGCTTCACTTATGAGTATATACCAAAGTATTTGGTCATAGATACGTAAATGCATATGCACATACAGAAATATATTTATATCTACATTTATGATGGTTTGGCCATGCACACTAAACCTTGAGCACAAAAGCACAATACAGTTCTCCTACAAAAGCCCTCTGATCTCGCGCTGTCTGCAGCTGTACTATTGCACTCGTGTCCACTAGACGTAGGCGCGACGTTTGCGCGCAGATCAAATTGGTCTGGCTCTCGGTAGGCAAGGTGACCAAGAGAGCCCATTGAAGGCAAGCTGCATTGGCGGCCTCAGAGACCCGCTGGCGTTCGGACTTGTGACTAACCGCATCGGACCATGCCTACGAACGCACGTGTGCACAGACTGGAATGCAACATGTTCTAGCACGCCCCTCATAGGAATAGAAAAAAATGCTTGGTCTATTCGTTTGTGTTCACGTTTCCAAGTGACTTCACTCAGGAATACCGGTTTGCAGTTCGAATTGCTCAGACATATTCAAGAAAGCCTCATCCTTCATCACCGAATGACTATCTTCTATACGTCTGGGATTCCGAGAAAGAAGAATCTAAGACATTACTTGCTACGCTCACGGTTTCGGTAGCTCATTCTACGATGAGATCTCCTGTCTAGACCCGAAGAGGTCCGGCTCTGAGCTGTACTGGTCCCTAGCACAAAAGAGCCCTGGCAGCGGTGTCTAGTCCGTCGTATTGCCCACTGGCTCTAGGAGAGTGAGAAGACGGCAGCTTGCAAACCCTTGGGAGCACAACTATCTCTGCTCTGCCCCTGGTAGTGACAGTGGCCATGGCAACTGCAGCAGCAACCTCGTCTGGTATGCCACTCGCTTTCCAGGCGCGCTGTGTGAACAGCCTGGTTGGTAGGGTGAACGGACTGCCCGGCGGTCAAGCAACGCCGGATTTGGTGCTGGCAAGAGACACTCGCGTTGTAGAAAGCTATAAGTACACAAAGAAGGTCGGGTCCTATCTGCTAGGCCGTTGTCTGGGCAGTGGTTCCTTCGCCAAGGTACACGAAGCCCTACATCTGCCCACTGGTGAAAAGGTGAACCCGTGTTCTTTGACCACTTGTGTAGTTGTTGGCAAGCCTCGTTTTTCGTTTGCAGACAATTTTCACTCTGTCTTTTGCTTAACTTATGCAATCTATCGAATCAGATTTGTTTGCTTCATAACTGTCCTTTAACTACCATCCAATCATAACCTGCAAGCTTTGTTGATTGGGCAGCCATAGGTTTAGGCATAAGCTGCTTATCCCACATGAATAAGTTTATTTATTGTAAGGATGCTCTAATAGCAGACAAAACTAGAAAAGAAAAAACGTTAAACCAGCTACAATAAAAATACAGTAGTTGTCTGACTCTTTTGCAGAAATAAACTCTGGCCTAGTCAACTCCGTTTCTGTTACTGGGGCGTTTTGTTAGGACATAGTCTTTAGTTAGATTTGAATGGCCGGATCCAAGTTGTGACAGTTAAGAAAGGAGCCCACAAGGCTTGTAACTTGGATGTTCTCTCCTCTGAGTTTGCTCATCTATAGCTCTTAGTTGACCTTTTTCTTGTCTTGCCTGTCTTGTGGGACTTTCCAGTTAAAAAATGTCTCTCATTTCTATAATCGTTTTTAACTACCGTCGTCAGACTTATTTTCTGAACTTCCAGCAGACCCTTACATTTTGGCCATCACTCATCGAAGTATGGTAGAAGTGTTGTTAAAACTGAGGCGCATCTTTGGTTGTTTGACGCTCTAGTCGCTGATAGTTAATATGCTCATGATGAAGTCAACATAAGACCTGCCTTTATAGCAGAAATGTCCTGTACCGTAAATTCAGTAAATGAGTTCTTTTTCATTGAGAATCGAGAGGGGAGCAATGTGGCTTACAAAAATCAGCATACCCTGAGTTCGAGCCCCGTTGGGGTGAGAATAGGCTGAAACTATTATCCACTTTGGATGTATAATCCGCCTCAAGAAGGCAGGAACCAATGAATTTTTCCGACAAGGTATATTTTGGCCACCTTTCAAGTCGCGGAAAGAGTAGAAACAAGACGTATGGCTGCTTCTTGAGATTTTTCAGCAGCCTATTAGAAGCCCTTAGTGCTCTTGAAAGCCAGTACTTGTTTGCACGATGTCGACTCAAAATCGGGACGAAGCGATGTAGACAGGTGTTGAGGGAATGTGAGTGTTGTAAATACCTGTTTCACTGAATTTAGTTGTCAGAGATCAGTTAGAAAGAAGAGTTACAGGTGTATTGGCTTGCACAAAATTCTGGATGAGAATTCGATACCCACTTAATGAACAGTCTGTGGGTAGCATGTTGTGGCAATACATTTAGGGATCCTCTGGGAAATGCTCCCTTTTCCATGTAGCTTGTCCCCTCTTGATGCGCTTCCGTTGGCTGGGACAACAGCATTACAGGAATCGGTAAGTATAATTTGATTGAACGAAAGGATGGTAGTCATGCCTGACTGGAAGCATTGGAATCTTGGGTGCACAAAATCAGAATATCTCTTACTGCAGAATATGTGCTAATATTCATTTTTCATTATATTCACATCGGAGTTAAACAACTTTCTGTTCTTCATAGTGAGTATGTTTCATACCATATTTATTAAGAATAACTAACATCATAAATGAATGGATTGACACTGTATAAATATCCTTTAGAAAATTCAATGAAAATCTTCTTAATATATTGAGTAGAACAAGAACAAAGAGCATAACCAATTCATAATTAGTTATGCTGCCTTCTTAAAGATGATCATTTTGAGTAAAGGGTCCATTGATAAATTAATAAAATGTCTAAAAAGCAGTTGTTCTGACTATCAATCTTCTCAATTTACGACATTATTGTTAAGACCAATATTAACAGCATTTACCCGTACAATTTGCCGGTACAGTTAAAATATGAACCGACCAAAAATGTTTAGAGCTAGTAGATAGATGAGTAATAGAATTTGGTTTCTGGTTGTAAATGATCGGGAAATAATTTTAGGCCAGCCCGCAAAGGTTTCATTTAAAAAGATGTGAGTACTGAGTCATGGCATGAAATTAACAATCTTAGTGCACAATTGTATATATTTTGCCTTTGATGTAAACTGTAGGAGCAAATATGCGGTTTAAAAATGGGATCGTTTTTAACTCAAATTTTGTTAAATGAGTGCATGGTTCACTTAGGGGCTACTCAATCCATGCCACCCTCTTGGTTTTTTATAAGAGCTGTATTCACCCTATTTCGATTAAAGTAGTGATGACTGGAAGTCGAATTTTCCCACAATCATATGAATAGGCCTCATGCCTCCATTGGAGGTATTCACGTCCAGGATGGACGGCAGTTTCAAATTAGCCTAAATCTCACCAGCACCCTCAGTGGGAGTCAGGCTCGAGTTGTGGTGGTACAGCGTATAATCTCAACACGCTAAACATTATGCCACACTGCCACGAGTTCCCTTGTGCCACAGGGCAGATGTGAATTTCAAGGAAGGACAGGCATTTTCCCAAATCACATTATGTGATAGGTTTATTTACTATAAGGATCGAATACATTACTTCTTATTATTTTTAACTTTTCCAAGGATGAAAAGGTTGTGAAGAAACTTGAATCAGATGAAATCTCCATTGGGAATAATTGTAAACTTTTTCACAGTACAAAGGAATATACTAAAGAGGAACAAAGCTATCGGAGGATAGTTTATAAGTCTACCAGTACTTCTTCAATGCCAACTTTGTCATCAAAGATATGACGAAAAACCAGGTTTCAAAGACAGCCTTTTTTGATTTATTGTAAAATGACGGGCATTAAAAAGTTGGTTATAGGGAATTGGTGAAATTGTCACACCGAAAAGTGAAGATCGTTTGATTATATGAAGAAGTCTTCGGTTCACCGTCCTGCGACCCCGATGAACGTGTGCCAAGTTTTTGTTTGTCCGAGACTGCCAGAGTAAGAAAGCGTACTTTACGAAAGACGCGTCAAATGCAATAAGCCAAGAGAATAAGGGTGGACTTGAACAATCCTAATCACTTGTATACGTAAC